TGTGCATTATATCTCACGTAGCCAGCCCAAATGTAAACCATGACAATGAGAGGCCGAAAGGGTCATCGTCTAACCGTCAGCTTGACGGCAGGGACCTGTCTCTGCTGCGCATCGTGACTACGAGTCTCATCAGAAACATGCATGCGTCTGGGCTGAAGAAACAGTGTAGCAGGTGCGCGATTGGGTTCTTGACCTCGTCCCTCGGTCTCACCAGTGAAGACCGGGAAATTACTCTGGGACGTGGTACACGAACTCCAAGCAAATTGAGCCCGGAGGTACGCACGATCGCGGGCCCGAAAAAGGGGGCGAGGGCGGGCTGGGCACTCGAGTCACACCTAGCGCAGGTCAGCAGTGTCGTCAACTCATCTCAGGGCCGGCACACATGCTTACCGTGATCAATGTCCCGATAGTGCGTAATGACTTCTCTCTCAATGGTCGGTCCGCGAATGACAGGTGGAGGGGGAGGTGGGGGAGACGGCGAGGGGGAGGGCACGCGCTCAGGAATTCGTTCCCTCTCTCTCTGGATGATGCGAATGCGATCCCGCTCCCGCTCTCGGTCGAAGGAGGAAGACCGGCGACGTCGTACTGGCGAAGGCGACCTCTCAACGTATCGCATGGGAGCCCTGACGGGAGCAGGTGGTGGTACAGGCTCTCGCAGGCGCTCGCGTTCGTTAATGCGAATGCGCTCACGTTCGCGCTCTTCGTTGATGTGAGGCGGGGTAAGGCTGCGGGCTCTCCTCGTCATGACCATGTGCTCGTGGCGTACAGGACTGGGACTTCGAAAACGAGGCCGAGCGACTTCGCGCGTCTCGACATCGCGCTGACGAAGGACCAGTGGCCCTGCCTCTTGAGGTCGGGGGTCGTCGCGGAGGAAGGCTAGGCGGTCACTCTCACGTTCGCGATCTTGAATGCGGACATCGTCATAGGTGGATTGAGGGCGCCGGCGACCGGCAGACGAGGGAGGTGCGTCGTAATAGCGATCGTCATAGTCGCTGCCCCGGTAGGCCATGGTGGGTTGAGTTCCTCGTGAGATTGACGAGGTTTGTTTGCTCGTATCTGTTGTCTGTTGAGGTTGAAAAGCCTGTGATGAGTGGTGGTCGAGATCCTAGCTGGTGGTAGTGGCGGGGTCGTGTGTATGACGGTAAGCACGAGCAGCGGCTGAGCCGAAAGTACACGAGATTGGTGAAACTCAGACGCTCGTGGCACAAACGATGGGGCGGTCCGTAGCATGCAAAAGTCCAAGACCAAGCAACATGGGTATCGAGGGCCGAGAGTCTATGTGTACGAGGACTATGTGTACGAGGAGAAGGGAGAAATACTGGCACGCGGCAGCAGAACGAGACGCCCGTCGGAGGGAAGATGCGAAAGTGGACAGCAACGCCAGGCAAGTTGTCGAAGTCGATCGGCGTTGGGTTGGGTTGTGTTGGCGGGGGGGAGTGAAGTGGCGGGAGACGGGAGTGAAGTGGATCAGACTAAAAACAGGCCTGAAAGCAAGGCCCAAAGGGCTAGTCGTCCTTGTTGCTGGTCTGGTAGCCAGGTCCCTCAGGTCTGGCGCCGTGCTTGACCTAACGCAAGAAAGACAAGTCGGGAGGGGAGGGCTTGCGGGTGCCGCCGAGACGGGAGTCGATCTTGGAAAGAGCAGCGAGCGTCGAGCTTCGAGCGTCAAGCGTCGAGCGTTGTCGGCTGTCGAGTGTCAAGTGTCAATCGTCATGGCGCGGCGGGGGAGCAGCTGATGCGCGGTCCCGACTGGTCGACTGGTCGTCTGGTCGTCAGGCTGCGTGCGTGCAATCGTCCCCCCCTCATGGAGGGTCACGGCGGCCAGGTAATAGCAGGCTGTTAAGAGTTGCGTTGCTGGGTGCGCTAATAAGCTGACAGAAGGGGCTGGATGCCGGATGTTGGAGGCTGGCAGCTGTCGAGACGAGGGGGGCCCAGGGTCATCCTTGGGGGCCGCTGCAGAGTTGGCCCAGGATGAGGTTGAGCACCTTGTCACGATGGTGGGGAGTGTGTCGAAAATCACTGAAATCGCCCAAGCTGAACAATGTTGGTTGAAATTGGGTTGCCATGAGTATTCAGTCCGGATCTGACCCGATACTCGAAGAATGGCGAAGCATTGAACATATTCCCATCAGGGAGCTCCTCGCCCAGCCCTCCCAAGAATGTGCAGATCGGATGGATGAGGGGGAGGGGCGAAGGGGCAGACTCAGAGACAGGACGATACAGCTTGGAGGAAGGTGCATACAAAGTTCCTGCCATAGGTAGGGACAAAAGTGCAAAAACTGGCAACCAGTCATCCATCAGTTGGGCAGGCAGAACCAGTCAGGGCGTGGGAAGCCTGCAGCAGGAGCGAGGACGGGACACAAGACCAGGGTCTTGCCTCGCTGCCCAATGGATTCCAGCAGGGCCTCGCAGCCTCAGAAGCTTGCGAGCTCAAAAGCTTCTGTAGCTGAGGTACTCCTCAAACACGTTGTTCCTGCCTGTCTTCGGTGACTGCTTGTGAATGGCAAGCCGGGCCCTGTGACGAGACTGGAAGGAGGGAGGGCGCAAGTGACCGACAGGTCGTGATGACGAAATGACACACCCAAGGCTGTGTTGTGTATAGGCTGCCCATTTGTATTCAGGGTCTGACGAAAACCCGACCAAAGATAAACCAGGGTCCAACGTCTGCCAACTTTCTCTCAATGCCCGACTTGCCAATAAGCCCCCCTTTCCTGTACTGCAACGGTCGCACTGATGGTAGAGGGCATGATTTTGTAGTCGAGCAAGAATGAAGAGGGGATTGCTGGAGGTGGGGGGCGGGACGGGCCCTGACGTCATGTGGATCTGGGCTCGACCACGCCTGCCTGACAACCTCACCTGCCGCCCGCCTGCCCTAGAGTCGCTGTCCGCGGTGAGGGGGTGCTCCTACTAGGCCCGCCCGTTCTTATCCTTGCCATGGAGTCGAGATCACGGGCGGCTGGCCCAGGCCCTAAACTCCACTCTCCGAGTACAGCGCCTGAGAGGATTGGTGGCTCAGGGTTTGGTGTAGCTAGGTACTCAGGTAGGTATGTAGCATTTGCTCACAGGACCTGATTGAGGTTGCTAAATCAGTTCATGTATGATCAAGCGTCGTCTCATGAGTCCTCGCGGTGTATGCACGTCCCTCCTCAGTGAAAGTCGTCGTGCCTCGACTGCTAGGTATTTCGATTTCAATACGCGCTGTCACAAACACTTGGCATCCATGCGAGTAATGTATGTTGTATATTTCATGCGTGGATTTTCCTTTCGTTACCATCGTCACTAAACCGAGAAAAGACAGGAAGAGGAAGAAGAAGGGGCAAGAGGCAAAATCAACTCCCGTTTTCGTACCCAACCTCTCAGGTGAGCCGAGTCTCTTAGGCTCTCTCAAGCATGCCCGCACCAGACCCGCCAGTTCGCCGTCCGCACCATGCGCAGCCCATCGCTTTCGACGTCAGACCTCAGGCATACGCCAAACCGCGCTTCACATCCTTCGCCATGAGGCCCTCGAGAGGCTGCTCGCCCTGCGTATGTCGAGGGCGCCCGCCAAGAATGTCCACGACGTTCTTCATGTGCGCCCAGTGCGTCGCCTTGGGCCTGCGGTTCTTCCAGTCCGCGTCCTGCTCCTCGAGCTCCTGCATTGGCGTAAAGGTTACCTGTGCGCCCTTGATGCCAATAACGCTCGCGCTCATCGGGTCCTTCTTGCACCTGTTATGCGATTTGGGTCGGAACTCCTCGAGATGCTGCATGCACTTGATCGCCAGACGCACCGCGCGGCACCTGTCCATCGGCGACGGCACGCCGCCCTGTTGCACGTGGCCGGGGATACTGTCGCGCGATTCGAAACGGCCCCGGGCCTCCTTGCGGATAATGTCCGCGATGAGCTTGGCGTTGAACACCGAGTCTGCCTTCTCGTTGACGAGGATGAGACGTCCTGAGGAGGTCATGCCCCGATCGTGGGCAAATACTTCACGCAGGTGGCGCACGTCGGATGCGAGCGTCTCAAGGTCGAGCCCTTCCTCAGGTGTGTACACGGCACTCGCTCCCACGCTGAGGCCTGCGAGCGTCGCGATGTAGCCTGACTTGCCGCCCTGTGTCTCAACGACAAAGACTCGCCGGCGCGTAGCCGACGCCGACTGCTTGATCTTGTCACAGTAGTTGACCAACTCATTCAGGCAAGTATCGGAACCGAGCGAGTATTCCGAGCCCGGCACGTTGTTCGATATGGTGGCCGGCAATAGGCACATGGGAATGCAGAGCGACGGGTACTGATCCCTCGCCTTGCGCAACTGCGAAACGGCATGGAACGCCTCAAAACCACCGATCAGGAAAAGGGCATCGAACTGGTACTGCTCGATGAGGTTGGCGACCAGCTCCATGCCTGATTCCTCGGGCAGTTCGCGGTTGGTTCCGATCTCTGAACCTCCCCGGCTCGCCCAGGCGTCCACCTCGAGCCAGTCGAAAGGTCGCACTGAGCCGACAGGCTGGTCGTCGTGGTGCCTGGTGAAGCCGGCAAAACCGTTGTGAATGGCGATGGGTTCGTGGCCCCGCGAGATACAGTAGGCCACGCCGGCGCGGACTGCGGCGTTCATGCCGCCGGCAGGGGCACCGACGTTGATGAATCCAATCTTCATCCTCTGCAGGTCTTTTAGTAAGAGAAATATTGATTTTCAACGCACGTCACAACGACATACCTGGCTAGAATCCAGTAGAGCGTCGTCCACCCTGACATTGGTAGTCATCATGTACGAAGTGAACATCTCGGCAAACTCGGTATCGCGAAGGCCCATGGCCGTTTCGAAGTCCTTGGCATCAACTGCCTTGGCGACTTGCTTGGTGTCTTGCACAGCCTTCATAAGGGGTCTTCGTGTAATCTGGTTTTCTGTGATGGCGATGAAGCACGTCTCCGTCTCGGGCGTTGCTTCGAGGACAGCCTTGACGGCCTCGACACCCTGGAGGGTGCCGAGCATCCTGTCGTACGCCACGGCGGTGCCGCCGCGCTGGACGTGACCTAGTGTAGTGATGCGGGTGTCGAGAGCAAGGCCGTCCTTGTTCGCCAGGATGTTCTTGACCATTTCCGAAGTAATCTTGTTGCCGTGCCTGTCGTGAGCGCCCTCGGCAATGATGACAATGGTCTTGCGCTTGCCCAGAGCGCGGTGCTAGAAAAGGGGTTTCGTCAGCTTTCAGTGCCATGCAACAGCCGCGGAGCCGCCCTGCGCTTACTCTCTTCACAATGGCACTCATGTCTTCCTCCCAGTGGTCGTCTCTAGGCTTTTCCGGGATGAAGATGAAATCGGCTCCCGTGGCAACGCCAGCCATGAGGGCCAACCAGCCGCAATGGCGACCCATGACCTCGATGACAAAGGCGCGTGCGTGGGACGAGGCAGTGGCCTCGATATAGTCCACCATCTCGCAGATGCGCTCGAGGGCAGAGTAGCAGCCAATGGTGGCATCCGTGCCGGACATGTCGTTGTCGATGGATCCGACAAGACCGACAATGTTGAGGTGCTTGTGCTTCTCGACCTGCTCGGGCTTGAGCTGGCCGGTGGACACGAGCTCCTCGAGGAGGGAGGGCCACTCGGCGCGGAACTTGTCGGCGCCGGTCAGCGAACCATCACCGCCGCAGATGATGATGGCGTCAATGCCGCTGAGGATCATGTTCTTGGCGGCGGTGAGGCGACCCTTGCGCTCGAAAAAGGCCATGCAACGCTGGGTGCCGATCAGGGTGCCGCCCTGGGAGAGCCAATTGCGGACGTCCCGCCATTCGGCCTTTCTGATGCTGTCGCCGCCCTGGACAAGGCCCTCGTATCCGTCGTACACGCAGTAGGCATCGCAGCCCAGGTGGATGGCCATGCGGACCACAGCACGGACGACGCCGTTCATGCCAGGGGAGTCACCTCCCGAGGTCATGACGGCGATCTTCTTCTTCGTGGCCATGATGGCAGTTCGGTCGTCTGTCCGGACGGCCGGTGTCCTCTCGATGAATTCGGGAAGGGAGGGGAAGGGAAGGAAATATAGACTGAAACCTAAGAGCTGTCGATGTAAGAAAGAGATGCCACAGGTCAAAGGAGGGGAATTGATAAGGGTGGGTGATCCTACAAGGTAGGTTAGGTGTGTAATAGGTTCGACCAAGGTTTGGAGGGGTACTGGAGGGTGGGACAGGATAGGCAGAGCTGGTCAGGCGAGCGGACTAGAACTGCAAAGTAGAAGAGGCTCGGAATGAACGAGGCGCGAGGACGAAGTAGATTGGAGGAGCTAGATCGGTAGCCGCTCCCTAAATAAGACCGGTCGTACTGGTTGAGTCGCGGCAGGTGAGGCAGTCGGTGCCGGATTCGGTGGGAAACCTCTGGGCGTCGTGCGAGACACGCATAGGCGGTCCAGACAGCTAGGGTGTCTTAGCGTGCCAGGGCCTGTGACGTGGGACAGACTGTGAACGGACAGGGGGGGGAGCACCAGGAAAGCCCAAGGCAGAGGGTTTTTGAGAGCTCTTATCGCTTATCGTCGGGCGCGGGGTCGTTAACATGGGCCAACTACCTTGCCTACCTATCTACCTACCTTGCAACGAATAGCTTGGGAATGAGGGGTCTGGCCATGTATGTACTCTACAAGTATGATCTGATGCTTGGTCCTGACCTGACCTGTTCTGCCTTGCCAGAGGAGGGCAACCTTGCGTCGAGGTCGTGAAAAACAAGATCCATCGTCCCTCCTATGTCGGACCGGAGCGACCTCTCTTCGCTCTTTTTTTTTCTCTCAAAGCCTTGGGGGGGCTGTTGAGGGAAATTTCCCTTCTCCCCCAAGCCTCGTTTGTGAGGGGTTTACGGAGCTCTGAGCTCGAACGGCCCGTCTGGTCTCAAGCCCTGAGAAACACCCCCCCCCCCACCCGTCGGGCCCACTGAGAGGCTCCATGCCAATGGTGGGTGCTGTGACTGTAATTCTATAATAATAATGCCAGTGAAAAATGATTCAAGATTGGCTATGGCCCGTGTCTCTGGTACCTCGCCGTTGATTTCGTTCGTCACTATCAACCATTCAGGGCCCCGCCGACCTACAGCAGATGGGACCCCCATGCCGTTTAGAAGGATGACAGCTCTCTGTCAGCTCGCTGGAGGTACCCATTACGGCATTCATCGCTCTAAGAGACCGCCCAGCCCGATGCACCCACTCAACAACCCCCCCCCCCTTACGACCCACTTGAGCTCCTGCAGCTGGGCACTGATTTGTCGATCCCCCTGCAGGGCTACGTCGGGCTTGTTTGACTTCACCTCAACACCAACTGTCCAAGCACTTGCGCATCACAGCCTTCCGCATCGCAGCCTTCCGCATCCCAATCGATCAGACGGGGGCAAACTCTTGTGCGGCGCTTTGCACGATGAAAAGACCGACATCGAGCATCCGACTCTAACATTGAGCTAATAGCCGCCACCGACATCGCCATACGACGCACCCCAAGCGCATCATGGCGAACAATCCGACACAATCACCCTACACATCCTTGCGTCCGCCGCCCATTGGCAGTCGCAAACCAAAGAACCTGGGCGAATTCATTGGGAGGATACAGGCCGAACGCGGTTTCCGCAATGTCACCGAGGCAAGCCTCCGCGAGGAGGTCGCGGCCAAGACGAATGGCGAGGCAAAAGAGGACGACGTGCAAATGTCCGTGACGGACGACGAAGATGACGAGGAAGCCAAGGATATACACACAGTCAAGGGCGAGATTATGCGCAATATTGAGTGAGCGGGAAGCGCTGCTTGTATGTTTGAGCGCCTCTGCTAACCAGTCGCAGCGCTGCACACAACACAGCCATGGTGGCCCTCGACTTTGTTTCTCTGCTCCTGACCAAGCACAATCCCAACCAGGCGGGAGTCACCTTGTCGCAAGCGCTACGCGACTTTGCCGGAATCGGAACGCTTGGGGTGTCCAAGTTCAAGGATTCGGAGCAAGCAGGCGACAAAAGACGAAGGGAAGAGAAGCGGCAAGAGGCCAAGGAAGTTTCCCAGGGGTGGACGCTCATGGAAATTGAGCGGACGAGAAAGGCGGCAGAGAAATCAGCTGCCATGCTCGCCAAGGAAGTTGATCGGGAAGAAAAGTACTGGAGCGAGATTCTAGCGGTCAAGCAAAATGGCTGGTCGATGTGTAGATTGCCGGCCGAACGTCATACCCTGGGTGTGAGGTTTGGCTTCACCGAAGGTCAGTGTTTTCCAACCACCATGCTATGCGGTACGTGCTGAAACTGCGCAGCATCTTCCGAGTTTCGGAACAACAGCCTTGCACCTCTGAGGCGAGGCGACGACGGCTCGGTCGTCCTGGAGCAGGGGCGAGCAGGGGTCGGCTGCCAACGCATCTCTGTCACGTTGGCAAGAGATGGTGAGATCAGCGGACAGACCGCTACGAACTCATCAATTTTAGAGTCGGCCCCACTGCAGGAACGAGTCTTGGAGGCGAGAAACACCATCTTCTCTCAAGAACTGTGGCACGAGCTTCATCGTGAGGCTCATTCTTTAGCCTCCTACGGTGTGCGCGCGAGCGACAGCAGCATCACCTATGAGCCGAAAACGGGCCCTAGCATCAACATCTCCCTGGATACGCTGTTGGGTGTGGCGCCCACGGTCCAGGAAAAGAAGCCCGACAACTGGTACGCCGAGATGACGCAGTTGAGTCTTCATGTGCTCCTCAGCTTTGCTCATCGCGAGAACGAGGTGCAGCGCCGGAGGCCGGGACCTCCCCACCAGCGCCGTCACGAACAACACAATCAATATCATCTCATTCGCCCCATCCTGTCACGAGCGATCCACGACGTCTCAGTCAGACAGTGCACCCGCCTAGTCGGCGATTTGGTGCGCATTTTGCGCCAGGCGGGAATGGAGGAGGCTGCCTTCACTCTTAATAACCCTCAGTTCGTCCTGCCCAATTCTGATGCCCTGACTTCGACGTCTTCCAATCGCCCAACGGCAGCGCAAGCCCTCGTCAATCTCCTGCTAGCCCCGTCAGACTTCCAACTCGATGTCACATTGACGCCACGGGCGAGGATCCAGATCCGCGGCCGTACCTGGTTCCTCCCCCTCACAACCACCCAGTACCAGGTTCACCTCCTTCCGCCGTTGAACAGCACGGACGCAACCCAGAATTCTCTCTTGACTTCCTGCCCTCCGTACCGAGAGCGGGACGGCTACCCAGACCTCCAGTCCCTGAAGGTCTATCTTCTGACTGCTATACCCCGCGCTCTGGCCGACCTATATCTGCCGCTAGCCGAATCACTAAGCTCCAACCCCTCTCAGGCGACTTCGGAGCCCGCAGAAGAGGCCAGCAACCCTATCTGGGTCAAATCGGTCCGCGGCAACGCCATTCAGGACAGCACGCGCGATGCACACGAGGTTGCTTTTGAGCTCGACGAAAAGAGCAACGCCGACGGGTCAGAAAGGCTCACTCTAAAGGCCTCCGGCATCTGGTACGAGGGCAGCGAAGCGCGCACCAAGTTTGAGCATTTCGACGGCGTCCCCGGTGGCGAGGGCCAGGCGTCACCAACCAAGACCATGATCAAGGACATCATCGAGGCGGTCGTTACGGCTACGGAGGCTGTCTAGTTGCCGCCCGTTGTCGTCGCTGACCAAGAACCGTCGCATGTGCCTGGTGCGTTGTTGGCCGAGGCAGATGGCCGCTGGAGTCCAGTCCAGTTTTTCTTCGACATGAGTTGATGAGACTGAGAATACATTGGTTCTTATTGCTTCCCGATTTTGAAAGCTTCGGCATCGGGACAGATACGACCGTTTCCGGCTCGGGTATGCTTCGTATGGACTGAAGCTATGGATAACTTACCAGACATGAGCCTGTCGCGAGGTATACAGAAGCACATTGGCCATGATGAACCACCTTTCCGTAGCCCTTAGGTAGTCAAGATACCCACTCTGAGCTTCCACGAGAACTCTGCCTATATATTTCGAGATGCGATGCTGCGGAGAGTGCAAAAGGGCAATTTCAAGCTCAGATGCAGAACCGCATCGTCGCGTTCAACATCTGCCATGGTTGCAAGTGGTCCCACGCACCCAGCGGCGATTTGGCGCTCCAGAGTTGCTACAATCTGCCATCATGGACCTCTAGCGTGCTAGTCTTCTTTGTTTTTGGTTTAATGCTCGGGCGGCCCTCAAAAGTCATTGCGCCCCAACGTCGTGATTTCGGCTCCTGGGACGGAGGCATGCCACGGGAAACAAGATGTCTCACGGACTCTTTGAGGCAATCTATGCTACCTACCTATCTTTGGCATGTCCTTTGGATGCAGCAGGGACGTTTGTTGGGCGTACCTGGGAAGGTGTCTGGGGTTCTTCTAGTGAGACTACGTGTTTATGGGCACATTCTGACAGGTCTTCAACCCAAGCTACAACAAGCACATGACGCAGGCTCCATGGGCTCTGGAAGTGGTACCTCTGATAGTTAGATCAGCATGAGGCGCTGCACCCATGGATTGTCTTGGCAATCCAAGCCCAGTGGACAGCTTCATTCACCAACAGAGCATGCATCACAGTATCGCAACGAACACGAAGAAGCTCAACCAAAATGAGCTATTTGTTCTGGCCTCCTCTATCTTCCCTTGAAATCAGACTATGTATCCCCGGAAAATAAACCAGATAGACGCCCGGCGCCTGTTGGCTGAGAAGCAATTCCGGAACCTTGATGCTATCATGTTCTCCGAGGCCCCCAACGCCACACTAATATCATTGCTGGGTCTAGATGAGATTGCATGATGCCCGCTCTGTAGTGGATCCCAACCGGAGAACGCAAAATGCAACGATACTGCTTGGAAAACTTGCCGAAACCCCAGCATACGTGATAGGTTCAGACGCCTCAGAACCCGAAGAGATGGCGAAGATCCGCCATACTGAGACCCATGCCCTTGCTGGCCTTACCATCAAGGGCGGCGTCGATAGCTTCCCGCTTCCTCGTC